TGGAGCTGGTGCGGGATCGGGCAGTGTTTCGTTCTGCTGTGCATGGGGTCGCTATGAGTCGGAAACGACTCGACGGCACTTAACAACAACAACAACAACATCATCAGCAAATGGAGGTCCCAAAAGCTTTTACTTTATCTATATCATTAAGGTTGGTTGTTCTCTGATAAGGCAGCTTTTTCCCAGTCATATTTTGAGTGCCTTCCAGCCGAAGGGGCTCATCTTCCTGCACTGTATCAGATAATGTTTCCAGGCCATTCATAAAGTTGTCCAATATTGTACCAGACAGTGTTTCTTTGCTATTCTTAAGGTTTCCCTTGGCCAATTCTTTGAGAAGTGGATGACCTCTTCCTTCTTCCTAGTTGTCTCAGTCTGTAAGCTGCATTGAAACCTGTGTACCACGTGCAACCCTGCTGGCACTTGAAACACTAGTCGCACAGCCTCAACCTCACAGCAACATGCAAGCCACCACAGTATGACAAACTGACAGACAAGTTCGTCTCCCTTAGCTGTTTGAAACCTGTCCGCCCTCCCATTACCTGGATCCTACTGCTTTCTCATCCTCAGCATTCCCTCCTTTTCCTTCCTCTGGGGTAGGGCCTGTCTCTCTTCCCTTACCTGGATCCTGCAGCTTTTGTCATCCCCAGTGTTTCCTTCCCTTTCCTGCCTCTGGGGGTAGGGCTTTTATCAGACTCAGTGAGAGCTTTACCTGTAGGAGAGGAGCAGTAGCCTTTGGTAGAGGAATATAGCCACTGTCAATCTATAACCCAGTAGGGAATGAGCCAGGGGAATACATACCTTGCCCTTTCTCTGTCTCTCCTCCTCTCATCTCCTGCTGGTGCCTCCCATTCCTCACCCAACTAACGGGCAAGGGAGTCTGACTGATGCTAAGCATAAAACCAGCCTTTTGAGGAATGAGCAGAATGGAGAAGGATGGACCTAGAGGGGCAAGGAGAGAATTTCCAGCACACTCTGTATTGCCTTCATTCCTGGGAAGAATTTTTCTTCCACATAGCAGCCAGGACTTGGTTCTTAGCCCCTATAACAATGAAAGGAGAGACAAGGACCCTCGATCTCACTGTTTCCATAGCAACTCTAGAAACCATTGACTGGCTCTGTTTGAGTTACAAGAAATAGTTTTAAGTGGAAATTAGAAGCAGACCTGGTGTTCTACCCCTTCCTGGTCTCAGCATGCCTTCTCCCCATTATTCTGTGGCTTTTTTTCCCCTTTTGGCTTACTGGCTATGTATTCCTTTAGGGAGTGCATTTAATTCATGTAATGAAAACTCAAGAACAGTGGTAATAAACCGTTGAAGTTTATTTTTTCTTATATAACAAGATCTAGAGTAGGGCAAGCCCAAGTTGGGGCAATGAATTGAAGAAGTTATCAGTGGCCCAGGCTCTTTCCAACTACCAGCTCCACTATCCTTAGCATGTGGCTTTCCACATGCTGCTCCACTTCCAGCCTCACATCTGTGTTTCAGACTAAAAGAAGTAGAAGAAACTGTCAAGGAAGAAGAGGCAGCTTCTATATCAGAAAAACAGAATTTTCTCAGAAAGCCCTAGCACATGTCCATTTTTACCTTATATGGCAGTACTGTGTCACTTCTGCTACAGAGTAGAAATGGACATGTCACATGACTGCCTTTGCTTCACAGGAGGCTGGAAAATGTAGTTGTTTGGCTAGGATGATTGTCATTTGGAAGCAATCAGTTTTCTGTTAATAAGGATAAAATGGAGAATAGATATGTCTCTGTTGTTGTTAGGTGCCATTGAGTCAGCTCCGACTCATAGCAACCCTGTGTACAAGAGAACAAAACACTGCCCAGTCCTGTGGCGTCCTCACAATCACTGAGCCTATTATCACAGCCACTGTGTCAATCCATCTGGTTGGTTGAGTGTCTTCCCCTTTTTTGCTGACCCTCAACTTCACCAAGCATGATCTCCTCCAGGGACTGGTCCCTTCTGACAATGTGAGATGAATTCTGGCCATATCTCTCTACAGGGTGGAAAATTAGCAGAGTCATGGGCCAATAGTATCCGTGTCCTTGTTTTTCATATTTGAAGGTGGCACTATGTTCCAAAGGCTTAAATGCATTGGAAACAAAACAAACCAAACTCACTGCCATTAAGTCAACTTCAACTCATAGCGACCCCTCCTTGGGTTTCCAAGCCTGTATTGCTACGGAAGTAGGTAGCCTGGTCTTCCTTCCGAGGAGTGGCTGGTGGGTTTAAACCTCCTGCCTTAGGCACTATGCCACCAGAGTTCCTAAATGCATTAGGGGAAGGCATTAAACATAGTTACTCAGAAAATAGAACTTGGGTCTAGATTGAAATTTAAAAATCCTTCAGAGACAGTTCCAAAAAACGTGTAATAAGCTTCTACTATATACACTATCTTTTTATTAGTACCTGTTCTAAGAAAATATGCTTATCTAAAGATGGCTGGAGAAATGTCCTCAAAATTCTTTATGTTGTTTGTTGATGTGCTTATAAACCTCAAAAATAACTCATGTATATTTCATCTAACCTCTCTTCCCTTGTCTCACTCAGATATGTGGGCAAAGTAAGTATATAATTTAAATCTCTCTTCTCTCTTCAGAGGAAAAGAACAAAATTCATTGCCTGTGATTTTCTGACCGAGTGGTTATACAAGTAAGTTGTTCATGTCTTTGAATATTCAATGACCCTAAGGATTCAGTCATGTTAATTTGTAAGCAACTGACTTGAATTCTTGCTTATTGTTTTCTTGTCACTCAAACATATGACACCATGATCAGTCATAATCCAAAGAGAATAGACGAGCCGTTCACAGAATTCTTCTCCATTCCATTTGTGGCTGAGTGGCTAAAGTATCAGTAAGTACCAACACAAATGTTAAACAATTTATTCCTAATTTTAAGGTTGATTTAATGATAGTTTTTACCAATCTAAGAGAACTAACTCATGCAATCTACCCAAGATCCCAGGTCAGTTATATTTGTGTCTCTTGTCTCTGTGGTGATTTTCATTGTAGAGAAGTGCATTCTGTTATGCAGTGATTATTCCAGAAGGGCTTTAGTAATAAAGGTTTTAAACATTCTTATCCTGTGTATTTTATCTTCTCTCTCTCTCTCTTATCTCTCTCTCTCTCTCTCCCCATGCTCTTCTCTCTCTTTGAAGATCATTATGCCTCAGGAAATATTACTAAATGTTTCTAAATATTTATTTTTAGTTATATGAATAATTCATGCATCAATTCTCCATTTAAAATATTTGACCATCCTTCTGCTCTGGATTTTCTCCCCTCACAGAGGCAGTCAGTTTGGTGTGGAGACTATCCTTCCAGATTGCTTAAAATTAGTTATCTCACTGGGTGAAATTTGTTTATATCTATATAAAATTAGTAGGACTGCTTTGTGTGAGCTGTTTTTCATCATTGATATAGCCGTGAGAATGATGGTAGCCACCAATGTTTGTTGACTACCTGTATCATTTATAGAGTACATTTAACATGAATGAACTAATTTAACCCTCACAACAATGCTATCACAGCTCCATTCTTTCTTTTATTGAGCTCAAATATATGTTTTTTACATCTAGTCATGTTGATTTGATTCCATCTACTTCATGCTTTCCGATGGCTTTATAGCATATCTCATTTCTAGATTTGCATAATGCATTCATTTGTACAAGAAAAATTTAGAGAGTGCCGATTATGTGCCAGACATCATTCTAGGTGTTGGAGATAGTGCAGCAAACAAAGTACTCAGACAACCCTTCCTTCATGGAGCTTATATTCTAGTGTGGATGAGACACAGTAAGCAAATAAATGTTATAGGGAAAAACGAAGCAGCAGGAGGGGAATAGAGTATTGAGGGGGCTGAATTTTATATATATATGGTCAGGCAAGGAGCTCTGGTAGCGTAGTGCCCAAGGCACTTGACTGCTAACCAGAAGGCTGCTGGTTCAAACCCACCAGCCACTCCTCGGAAGGAAGGTTGGGCAATCTACTTCCGTAGTGATACCGCCTCAGAAACCCAAGGAGGGGTCGCTATGAGTTGGATCTGACTCAGTGGCACATAACAATAACAACAACATGATCAGGAAAGCCTCCCTGGAAGGTGGTTTTGAAGCAGTGCGCCACTATTTTAAGCCATAGTGGAAGAAGAGATAACTTACTTTAGAGAGAAATATTTATATTTAGTTTGTTGCTCTGAAAATGTTTCCTTGCCAATTGGCTCTCAACCCAACAGTAGAAAAACTTCCATACAGAACACCTACCCTAGGAAGTTACACCTCTTTGATCAACCAGATATGAAACATCAGAGAGGCAGCATTCACATTGAGGGAAAGCTGGACAGACAGGAATGCATAGATAAGAAGGGCCCTAGGAGGGGTAGTCAAAGGGAAGAGAGGGGAGGAGAGTATTTTATGGTTGGAGATGGTAATGGTGCTACAAGATCAAATGTGCATGAACTGTTGAATGCAAAACAAATCTGCTTTGTAAATTTGCACCCAAAACACAATGAAAACAAAAAAAAGGAAAGAAAATGTTTCCCTGCCAGTCCTTTGCAAGAATAATGTCAGGAAACTGAGGCACCAGGAAATTGAGTGAGGATCTCAAAACCACATATTAAACAGAGTGCAGACCTTAATGCCACATATTTTGCTTAAATCTGCCTTTTTTGAGAATGCATAATTGAACAGACTTGGCTAACTTTCTCAATTTTGAGAACTAAAACTCCACAGATACTGCTATGTTTTTTTTCCCCCATTCAATCTCAGAATAACTACGTGTTAAAAGGAGGAAGAGATTGGAAAACCTTGTGTTTTATTGCGTCTCAACCTGTGCCTAATTTTTCCCACCATGACACAAAAAGCTCCACAGTTTCTAGACCATAAATGATTAATAAATGAAAAATTTCATATATTTTCCTAAGACAAGACTTATTGGTGTCATTTTCCAAGTTTCTGCTTTGCCTTGAAAATAAACATCTTCCCACTTGTAATAACAAGTGAGGTTGGTCTTAGGCAAATATGGTGACTATTGGAGACAAGAGCCTGGGGAATGGGCATTTTGAGCAGAGCTTAAAGGAGTAAGTTGGAGGAAGATAGAGTGTGAGGGAGAGACTCTGTTAAGGTTCTTTAAAGAAAGTGAAATATAAACTAGTGCTTTAAGCAGTATTAGGTTGTGGTTAAGAGCATGAGCTTTGGGGACAGTTTTCAGATCTCCACTTCTTACTAGCCATATGGCTTTGAGCAAGTGTCTTAGTTATCTTTTGTCATGTAACGAATTGCTCCAAGACTTATTGGCATAAAACAATAAATATGTATTATCTCACAGTTTCTGTGGGTCAGGAATTTGGTATCAGCTTAGCTGATTGGTTCTGATTCCAGGGTCTCTCTTGAGGTTGACATCAGCATGTCAGCCAGGGCCACAGTCATCTGAAGGCTTGACTGAGCCTGGAAGATCCTCTTCCAAGGTAGCCTACTTAGATGGTAAAGATTGTTTTTCCCCATATGGGCCTTTCCATGAACTGCTTGAGTGTCCTCATGTCCTCATGGCATGATGACTGGCCTCCGTCACAGTGAGAGACTTGAGACAGTGCAAGGAGGAAGCCACAATGCCTTTCACGACCTATTCTTAGAAGTCAAAAAATTCCATTTCTACCACATTCTGATAGAAGCCATTCACTAAGTGCAGTCCAATTATCATATTCAGAAGGAAGTGTCACCTTTCAAAAGGAGAAAGTCAAAAAAGAAAAATCGTTTGCTTGGAGTCACTTCTGACTCATGGTGCTCCATGTCTATCAGAATACAGCTATCCTCCATACAGTTCTCAGTGGCTGATTTTTTAGAAGTAGATCGCTAGGCCTTACTTTCAATATGCCTTTGGGTAGACTTAACCTCCCAGTCTTTCAGTTAGCAGCCCAGGGCACTGACCATTTGCACTAACCAGGGACTCCTTGAAGGGAGGAGTACTTACAAATTTATAGATAAGTTTCAGAACCATCACAGCGGTTCACTTTGTAAGCCTGTTTCCTCATTAGTTAAATGGAGTTGTTAGGAAGGTAAAGTGAAATGATGAACCTACAAATGAGATAAAGAATAGGCCCAACCCGTTGTTGTTATGTGCCCTTGAGTTGTTCCCGACTCATAGTGACCCCTCCTTGGGTTTCCGAGGCAGTATCACTACGGAAGTAGGATTGCCCAACCTTCCTTCCGAGGAGTGGCTGGTGGGTTTGAA